TTAAATTTTAAATTGACGTATCTAAAAAAGTCATTCAAATATTTCCAGCTCAAATAAAATAAAAAAATATGGTTATAGAACAATAAATATATTTTTTTTTATTATTAAACTAGACTTATTCAACATATTATAATTTAAATTTATTTATATATAATTATATAATTTTTTTTTTTTTTTTTTTGTATTCTAATAGGCTTAACTAGTCATAGCAACTAAGCGAAATTGTGTAATTGAGATTTTAGCGTGAGATTATAAAATATATAGATCGATCAATCGATCGATCAACAAAAAAAAAACAAAAAACCAAAGCAAACGAATTGATAAACGAAGAAAAACGTAAAAAAAAGACAAATATTGTATGATACGCATAAGCACTAACCTTAATGTATACTACACAAGATAAATCAGCTGTAAGACAGATTGTTAATAGCAAGAATACAACTAGAACTAAATGTCACTCGTCACTCGTCGCTCGTCACTTTTCCTTAGCCCGCGACGTACTCGTTACTCGCCACTCGCAACTCGTCAGTCACACTCGTTACTCGCTACTTCATCTTCAGTTGCTCTAGGGTTTTGGGTTTACTTGCCACTCGTTACTCGTCACTCGCTACTTCAACTACGGCAATTGTAATGGTGCTCAGATATATAAAGAGTTTTAGTTTACCCGACACTCGTTACTCACTCGCCACTCGCCACTCGGCACATCATCTTCAGTCCCAGTCAGTGGGACTCAGCTCACTCGTTACTCGCTACTTGCTAGACAAGGCCAATCATAATACACTCAAGTGAACTCGTTACTCGCTACTCGCTCCCCACATACATATATGTATATCAAACTCGTCATTCAGTTTGACTCAAGCACAACGAATTTCAGTTCACTCAGCACTCGTTGGCTCTAGTTTCTCCCGGAATGTCAATAGCTGAAGTACAACGAATTACCCCGCGCACTCGTTACTCGTCGATCGAGTATCATCAGTTTCAGTCAGTTAGAGCCAGTGACAACAGCAGTGAGATGAAACGAGATTCCCCGCTCTCACATCACCCCCCCCCCCCCCCCCCCCCCCCCCC